AAATTTATTTTTTGCTCTTATTGAAAAGACCGTTATAAGAAGGAAAGCGAACGAATCATCCGTTATTGCCCATTTTTGAAAATTATCATTAAGATTCAAAGTGTATATTCTACATCAAAATGACTATCATCGATATAGATTTTGAGCTTAAAATGCTTCTTAAATGAGCGCAGGCCATACTCTTTTTCCGACTTTTAAACTAGCCTTTGAGTAAGCCTAATACATAAATTCTACTTGTATAAAATTGAAATTTGCTCATGTTATCTGTTAGGTAGTTGCTTCAATAGCTACAATAGTTGCTTTCGAACAGGGCTTTATATGGACACAAGGCATGGTTGTTAACCAATTTTTCAAATTTTACCACCATATGATATACTCGCAACCGACAGCTTTTCGGAGCTGTTTTAAGGACTTGAGAAAGCGTTGAAACAAGTCTATTACGTGTATGAATTTCTTTAGCTTGAAGTTGTAAATTTTCCTTTTTTTTATTGTTTTTTTGCCAAAATCCTATTTGCATACCCCTGCACTTGTAGAGCAAATAGTCTTCAGTGTTTGCACTTTCGCTAATGTTAATGACAAGCAAAAATTACTACAATTACGACGTTTATGAGCGCAAGAAGGCTGTGGTACAATATAAACAAGTGTCAAGCAAATAACCGCAGGCGATTTCAACTTGTTCAACTACTATTTGCCCTCAAATATACGTCAACCATATGTATCTGCGGTCGATATTATTTATACGCGTCTTTATAGACATGTACTTAAACTAAAAGAAATGGGAACAACGGTAGCCCAAGGCTTATATTACTACTTTTACTTACGTAATAAATATTGTTGAGTTTTGTTTACTTCTATCGAGCAACTTCAGTAGCAGGGAAGTGGCTAAATATTGCTTTCCCACTTGATTTATAAATTATTTTTGTAATAAATGTTGGAATTTACACATTTTAAAGGAAGTTAAGTGGAACGAAATATATTAATCCCACTTTGAATAATATCAGTTTATGACCCTTAGTGAATAACGAAAGTAACAACAAAAGTTTAGGAATATAATAGATATAAGTTGCCAAGGTATTTAATGTAAAAGGTGAGTTCCAAAGTAAACAGGACTTTCAAAAAAAAAAAAAAAAACCGAACAAATGTTTTTTTCGGCAAAATCAATTCATTTTATTCAAAATAGTCTACTTCTGCTTCAATACGGCTTTCTGCACGGTCCAAAAGCATGCCGAACGACTGTTTTAGCTCGTTGGTCGGTATGACCGCCAAATGCATTTTTTCGAGAGGGAGAAGTCGCACGTTGCCATATCAGGTCAATATGGGGAGTTGTTAATGGTTAAAATGTGATTATTGGTGAAATAATCGGTCACAAGCGTAGATCGATGAGACGGCGCAATATCCAAGGTAGAATACCGCATTAACATTTTGGCCAGGTGGAACAAATCTTTTGTGGACAATACGCTTGGAATCATAAAAACAAATCGGGTCGTCCAGTGCCATTCATTCAGCACTCTGGCGTTTCGTTTCAGAATCTTATTGGAAACACCACGTTTCGTTACCAGTCACAATATTGTAAAGGACGATTTTATCCTGTTTGACCTTTTTAATGATGTCCTTCGAATGTTGCATTCTGAACAATTTTTGGTTGTCAGTGAATTTGTGCGGAAAAAAACGTGCACACGCTTTTCGTAAGTCCAAATGTTCGGTCAGAATTCGATAAATCGATGTTTTGGAGATGTTCAATTTCATTTCCATGAATTGCAAAGATGATCTCGGCTGATTTTTGATGAATTCACGCACAGTTTCGATGGAATTTGCGGTGATCACGGATTTTGATTGGCCCACATTTTGAACGTCATTTATGTCCTCACGACCACTTTGAAAATGTAGGAACCACTCGTACACTCTGCTACGGGATAGGAACTCATCGCCATAAACTTGATCATCAATTGAAATGTTTCAGGAAAAGTTTTACCAGTTAAAAACAAAAAAAAAATTAATGTTGGCTCTTTGTTCGATGCACATTTTCGCACCGATAACACAAATATACTGACACTTAAAACGCAATAACTTCACTTCCAATCTATGAAATGTCATGAAATTCGATAATGATAGCAGATTCTAACGCATTAGTCGACATATAGATGGCGCCACCTGGGGGCGCTACATTCTAAAAGTCATGTTTACTTTGGAAGGCACGTTGTAACAATCGTTCACCTGTGGTCGGTATTCGTGGAATTGTTGAAAATTTGGAGCATACATTTACTTTACATAATGTTCAAGTACTAATAAGACAAAGAAAAGCTCGAAGTAATGAAAATATTGATACCGTTAAAGAAAGTGTTTCTAAAGACTACAATTTGTCGATTTCAAGCCGTTAACAAGAATGGGGACTGTCTCAAACCACAACCTAGCGGAATTTGAGAAAGAATTTGTGCTTGCGTCCGCATAAAATTGTTCTCGCTCAAGAACCGAAGTTAATACAGCACCGTAAACGTTGTGAATTTGCTGATTTTGCCTTGAATCAACTTGAAAACGATATTTGCCGATGAAGCTCGTTTTCATCCGAGTGGTGCGGTAAATAAACAGAACTGTCAATTCTGATGAAAAAATAATCCACAAATTGCAACCATTAGATTCACCTAAATTGACAGTTTGATGTGGTTTCTGGTCTAGTGGAATCATCGGACCGTACTTCTTTCCAAATGGTGACACCGTTATTGCAAATGGAGAATGGTATAGATCGATGATAACCAACTTTTTGTGACCGCAATAGGAAGAAGTTGATTTTTGGCAACATCTGATTCCAACAAGACGGAGTTGTGTGCCTCTTAGTACGTGCAAAAACCGAATTATTGCTAGAAAAATTTGAAGATGCGATTATTTCAAGAAATTGTGACATTGAATGGCCTCCAAAATTTAACACCATAAGACTACTTCTTGGGGAGTTATTTGATGTCATTTGTCTATAGCAGTAAACCAGACTCTCTTCAAGATTTAGAAATCAATACTGAACTTCCTATTCATGACATACCACTTAATTCAGTGGAAAATTGCACGTTCCTGCGAAAGAAGTTGTTGAGGCCATTTGAAGGATGTTATATTCGGCACGATGTGATTGTTCTTCATATTAAATAGAAAATATTCGAGTTTTCTTAAAAATTAGTATGTGTTTTTTTTTTTAAGAAATTATACCACTCTTATTGTAAAATAAAAAAAAAAATAAAAAATTATATCACTCTTAGTGTAAAAAAATTAAAAGCGTTTAAAAAATGCTCAGTTTTACTCAAAACTTTGATCTTTGTTGGTCTGTCAGATAAAGTACGAAAAATCTTCATTCATAAATACAAAATTATTCTTACAAAAACCTGATTCCGATCGTGCAGTTTGTATGGCCGATATATGCTAAGCTTGGGCTTTGTCGACCGTGCCGACAAATAAGCAACTCCTTGGAGCGAAAAAGACATGTGCAAAAAGATATCTCTAAAACTGGACAACGTTTCCTTCTAGGTGTTATAAACTTCGTGACATAATTAACATACCCCATTCAGAGTAAACAAACTTGGTTGTTCATTATAAAGAGAATTCGATATAGATCGGAAAAAATTAGATAGCGATAGAATAATTTTTCTCAGAGTTATTATAAATTCAAAGGAATTCAATGAAGAAATAATAAAAAAGAAATCACGAATCTTACCCCCTCTAAATGAATAAACCCTTGAAAAAATCTTTCCGCGCTGACTATAAGCATATAGATTTAAAGTATAAGCTGCAACAAAATCAAAAATGATGGTTTGAAAAAAAAAAATTTGCTTAAAGATATATATAAAGATATGAGAGCTGACTGAGCTGAACTCCTACACTTTAGGACACTTGAAGTCAAAAAGTTTTTGCAATATGTATTTAAAAATTAATTGTGTTCTTTTCAAAAGTATCGAAACATGCAAAAAAATTTTTAGAATTTCACACTTTGTGTGAGTCGGTTGAGATCGAATCGTGATATATGGAATCCAAGTATATTCAGAAATCGCTTATTACAGAAATGAACCAGAAAATACATATTATTCTATTCAAAAATAGTTCTTTCGACGAATTTACTTTAGTCCAGAAGCTAGAAAAGTAATTACACATCACTCGTATAAGTTCAAACAAATCATTCTTTTACTTGCCTATAATAAGCAATGTGGTATTACGACTATTTAATGACTGTGGAAATCGGCAGCCGAAACATCAAATTAGGTGAAAATAGAGAAGGAAACGCTACCGAATAATTAATGGTCTAACGACTAATAAAGCGAAATTTGTAAGAGCGATTCGATCATGGAAAAGGTGAAAAGAAATATCAAATAGACGCCTACGCGACATTTAAATAACAAGAAAAATTCCAAATTTCTACAGTGGCCACTTAAAGTCATAGACAAAAGAGATGACAGGCACTCGAAAAAATGCTTGTTCATTTAAGTGGAAGTCGCTGTTACCCGACAGACTCACTTTCGTTTTCAGCAAAGTGGGGAAAAGATCGACGCATGAGAAAAAAATGTGAGTCTGTGTGTACGTATTTACTTTGGCGCCCAAAGCCACGATGCTGTCATACAGTAAACGTCGCCAGCGCTGAAGAGTGAGCGTGTGCGTGTTGCGCATGCGTGCGCATAATAAAATGAAAATAACAAATAAATGTTGAACAGCAGACAAAGAAAGCGATCAATAAGCTAGGCAATAAGAGTTGCCGAAAAGAAATAATAAAAATGTGATAAAAACAAAACAAAAAAAAAAAGAAGATTAAGGTTGGAAAAAATCTGAAGCGCCAGCCGATGAAATAACCGCGCTGACCGTAATGGACCAGTTTAGAAGGCGACAAAAACTGTGTGAAGCGCGGTTTGGCGCAGCCGGTTCGACGAGACGCACAACGAAATGAGAGCGCAAGTAAAAGTGTGAAGAAAGTTCCCAGATGCTTAAGTTTCGTAAGTTTTGGAATTTTTACAAACCGGCAATAAGTGTTGCGACAGACGTAATTTCGGCTTAGCGGCGCGCAGACATCAAGAAACGCTACGCACACAGTATTCGAACCGGCTTAAACGAGCAAAACGGCAGCACACGCTAGTCAGCAGCGGGGAGGACGGAGAGGGTGTAGGCAGAAAAACGCAAAATATTTAATATTTATTTACACACAGGCACACGCATATAAAATCTGCAATAATGTTGCAAGTTTTTAAGGCAAATCAGCTGGTTGTGTTGTTGCTGTTACCGCTATTTTTAGCCAGCGACGCAATCGAGCTGCTGGAGCAAAACAACATAGAAGTATTGGGTAGTACACAAAAATTTAAGTATTCGCAACGCTTTTTGTTTAATTTTATTCTTCTTTCCACCTTGAAATAAAGAACTAAAGGCAACAAATGCAACGCCGGCAAATCAAACCAAAGCCAAAGCCGCAAGCAATGCGCTTCCGCGGCAATATCCACCACAGTTTGGTGTCCCCTCAGGCGCTGGCGGCGGACTTGGTGCCGGTGGCGGTTTCAACAATTTCGCCGGCTGTCCACTCTGCGATGCTTCGGTTTACAGTTACTGTTCGCAGAAAATGCTGCACGACGACTGTTGCTGTGATTTTCCAGGTAAACAAATATTATTCACGTGATTTCATTTTTAATTCTCCAATATTTAAAGAGCCAAATATTTTTTATGATTGGAATATTAAATTAAAATTTACTTATTTAATTTTCAGTGGTCCAGCTCCGCCCTCCACAATGTTTCTATACCGACTGCTCACTGTTGTATGCCAAATCCTGTTATGAACACTCGCTAATCAAGAACTGTTGCTGTAATAATCCTTACTGAATAAATGCAGAAATTTAGAAAATATTTAAGACAAAACCGTATTATATTAAAATTAAATTAAACTTATTCGAGCAAGAATATTTTATTTATATAATATCCTTAGTATTTTCATTCGGGGAGTTTTTTTACGTGGCGGGTCCCAACGCCAGCGCTAAACCCTGGGGAGGGATGTTTCTGTTTCACACTTCAGCTCGCCTTTAAACGGATGCTTTTTGGCTACAAAGAGGATACTTGGTCTAAGACCAAAAGTTGTGACCCAAGTGAATGGCGCTCAGAGATCTTTCCTCACTTGCATGAACTTTTACAAATGGCTCCATCCTTATATACATATATATGTTTAACCGTACAAGCGGTGTCTACGCCAGTAAAGAAGAAGAATATTCTTAGTAAATTCAACAACAAATTTGAAGCGCCAGCGGACGAGATAAACATTTTGCTTCCCAAATCAATTGATTCATGGCGCGTTCTTCAAAGCCTACTTTTCATTTTCAAAAAAGGAAATAAGTCACAACGAACCAAATTTGGAGTATACGGTAGCTGAGTCATGACTTTCGTTACATGTTTGACCAAAATGTCAGTCAAGGAGGAGGATAGGAGTATTATGTTGAAAGTTTTTATATCCAAAACATTAATACACACTTCGTTAAGTCGATTCCTAAGACTAGTACATCTCTGATGCCAACACGACGCTTATCGAACATTAATCTTTAATCAAATTAAAAATTTTTTCATGAAAAAATCGCCCGTCAAAATTTTCGCATCGTGAAACATCGGGTGATCAATCTTCAGACGAACATAAAGACATATGATGCCAAACTAAAAAAAAATTTTTATCAATTCGGTTGGCGCGCAGCTTAAATGGATACGCACGAGTTTGATCATCTAGATTTAAAAAGCAAAAATTTGGTAAAAAATTAAAAGATATTTTTAAGCCGTCCACAAATGGCTCAAAACATTAAAATATTTTGTTTACGTCCTACAGAACAGAAGTTAAAAAGCTAACGTAAACCGTAACCGTAAAATACAGCGATTTCAGGCTACCAGCCCATACGAATATTCGACTAAGCTGACAACTGCATTTTGGTTCATGCTCCCTTTTATCATAACAGCTCAAAAAAAGGATTACACTCCTATTATGGAGTTTTGTTGAGTTAGTTGTTGTTGATTTTACAACATAAAATATGCTGTCGAGGTCAAAGATTTTAGTCGGATGAATTAAGGTATAATTTGATAACTGTAGTTATGATAAATGGTTTGTCGTCTAAATCTTAAATAGGTAAACACTATTCTGAAGATTTCGATACACACTTCTATTTTCGTCTCTGTAACTAGTAATAACTAGATGAGGTTTTCTTAGATTAATGATACCATGAAGTGAGCTCTTCAAAAGCCAAGTGACCGGAATTTCAAAACATCGAGAAAAGTTTAGTTCTTCTTCATTTACTCTTTTCATAAACAAAATATATGATCCTTCATTTCCTGGATCCATTTTTTATTTATTTATTTATTTATTTTTTTAAATACAAATTCTCAGGTTTCCATCGGATGGAATTGTGTAGGATTAATTAAGTCTCGTAATTCCAGGGTGTTTATTTGTCATGTGAAATGGTTGGAATTTCTTGAACAATATAATTCAGCATACCTACACACTGACGGAAAGGGGGTGAAGAAGAAGCGTACTCAAAAATAGTTATTTCTACTTTGGCGACGAACTCTTCTCGAAGAAACTAACTGTGGAAGGTCGAGAAAAAATTTAAGCCACCGGTAGAAATTGAAAGATCCCTCATAAAAAAAACTTGGCCCTGTTTTAAAGATAAAAAACAAACTGTTTTGAAGATCATTATTCCGAAGTATTTCAAACAAATAGCGCAATGAACAAATTCTCCATTCATCCCTGCCGCACAATATACTGAGAACTATTTCCAAAATGTAAAACTTATTTTCTGAAAAAAGATATAACAATTGCGGGGAATGAAAAGATTAAACCTCTTTACGAACACTTAACACCTAAAATGTTAAAGAAATTACCAAATCTAATTTCTTTCCTCAACTGTTATTCCATTTTAAAGTTTGATGTTGTTCGAAAACGTGGAAATAGTCGCAGATTATCATGATAAACCAAACCAAACCCGGAAAAGACGCAACAGTCATCACATCGACCAGTTAGCTTTCTGCTCACTGCTATTGTAAATGTCCAAATATCGATTCGGTTTTCGCTAAGAAAATAGTCCTATTAAACATATCCCATGCATCATTTATGACTCAGTGATATTTTTGCACGTGGCTCAAGCATTTGATAAAGGTTGCTCTTCAAAAGCCAAAGTACTAGGATAATAATTTTGATACAATGTCTGAACAAAAGCTAGACTCATATTTAAATTGAAAACTTCTATCAGTTGTTCATATCACCTTACTAACAGGTGATTTACAGTTGCAATCTAACCCCGTTTGGATCGGTGAGTGTTAATTTGTATTCTTGAGATAATCTTCTTCCTCAGGATATCGTTTTGAGGCCAATACCGTCTGTATGTTTTATTTACCGCGGCATGCCCGGTGCAAAAGTACTAACCTTAACATTCGAAGACAACACCGCTTCTTTATGGCGAAGCAAGTGCTCTTTCGAAATCACAAACACACTAGAAAATCACTGAAAACTCATTAGAAGTTAATTGTCAAACTGGCACATAAAAGTCAAGGAGTTAAAGTGCTCTGGCTGTCCGCCTAGTAACCATAAAATACGACGATTCCAATTAGAAACAAGAGAGACCTAACAGGGGCACCGTGGTACATGCAGAACGATAATATACATAGAGATCTTGAAATACCAGTGGTAAACACAGAAGTGGCAAATATATAATATATAAATATATAAGGCAGCTGATAATTCAGAATGCCCACATATTGTCTATGGATTATGTTGGTGAATCTGTGTTATAGATATGCTTCAGATAACAGTATTATATAGAGCATGACACGATCTCTATGTCGGACTTCGTGTTATCAAATAAATCAGCAACACCAACTCTTCAGAGCACATCGTTGTATCTGTGTTACGGATGTTCTTCGGTCACTTTCCCGAATGCTGGGAACATATTCTGCTTTACCAGGCAGAACCACTGATATATTATGTAGGAAGATCATATGTTAATCGAAAACAATAACTATATATTGTCTATCTAAATACTATGCATCACTTCTATAATGAAATTCTAAATATCTGTCGTAGACACCAAGATTTCGGACTAAACTATGTACATATATATTTCATTGAAATGCTTCTTAAAATGTAGTGTTAGCGGACTGTACTAGGATAATAATTTTGATACCATGTCTGAACAAAAGCTACATATATAATGCACATTTGAATGAAAACTCTTGAACTGAAAATATAGTAGTAATAACATTTCTTCGTATTTAAGTTCAAAAATAAAGTATTCAAATATCAAATTCCAATTTAAATTAAAGCAGACGTCTTGTTCTCTTTTTCTTTTCCATTCCTTTCAATTCTGCTCTTTGTTTATTTAAAGCGGATATACGAAATGTGCCACAAGTAACCATAGAAAGTGGCATAAAATGAGCATTTTATGTAACGATGGCTATCAAAGTGCGTCAATATTTCCACAATGAAGCCCGCCTCTCCTCCCACTGCCAAGGAACATGTACATGAGTCCGCCAAACACACTGAGCATCACAAAGTAATAAAGATAGCTGAAATGCGAAAGCGCAGCCAAATGCGAACGAACGTCCAATTAATGCATTCAAAATAAATTCATTCAATTAAAAGGCATATTTATGTAAATTTTATTTATCATTACAATTAAACAAAACTCGGCAGCTGAGCAACTAGAAGATTGCCTGCCTGCTAAACCACTTGGTTGCCTGGCTTCACGGCGGCGGCGGTGGCGTTGTTAATGAGCTTTGCAATGAGTAGCGAGCGCGCGCCGCTGTCAATGTCCGCAAATTGAAAGGCAACGCATATATAATTATGGTTGTGTGGATAATTAAAGCCAAAATAGCGAGTCGGGCGAGACAAAGCGGAAAAGTAGCAGCGAATAGAAGTACTGTGCAAGTAAAAAGTGTTGCCAAAAACCAAAGCCAAGCTAAGCCAAGCCATGTCAAATAAAGCAAAACTTAAGTCGTGCGTTGGTTGAATAAAATAACAATAATAACAACAACAAACATAGCAACACAAATGGAGCGCATAAAGCTAATAAAGAATGAATGGAAGCTGTTGCTGGCTTAGCAGAAATGCGAAAAAGTTATTTTGAGCTGGGAAATGCGTTAATTAATTTCTTTACATTGCAAAAACGCGCCAAATAAGAGAGAGATGGAAACCAAATATTAAAAATAAACAGAATTAAATAAAATCAAAACAAAAAAACAAAAAACAAATTTAAATTTTACAGAGTCGAAGCCATAAAATCCTTCACATTTGCATATCTTATAGCGTAATGAGGCATATAAATCTTAACATCGATTTTGATCGGTCAGTATAAGCTTTAATGGTCCGATTTGAACTATTTATTTGCAGATCCTATATTATTCCGATCTGAACAATTTTTGAAACCTCGTTTAGAAGACCGGGATGCGAGGAAACCATACCAAGTAGTACCCTGTCATAAGAACGCATGGCAGGATCATTAAAAAAAAATTTTAATTCCTACTGGATTACACTGACAGCGATCATCAATCAGTACATATCTTTCACGAACGACCCTGGGAAAAATGGATCAAATCGTAAACGCACTGTTCCCCACAAACGAAAAAATGGCCAGTGATCCAGAACAGACTCTAAAATATCCTGCAACTAGCCACTAGCAAGCTCAAGGCCTACAAATCACCTGTCATAGAACAGATCCCAGCAGAAATCTTGAAAAAAATCGTTGCAGAGCGACCGACAGTACTATTATATGTGCGTCATGCTTTACCTTGAAGCCGAAATATTCCCTGAACCCTGGAAAAAAGAATGCCTGGTGCTAATCAGTAAGGGAAAAGGAGATCCCAACTTGCCATCAGCATACCATGCATGCTTGACAAAGCGTGAAAACTCTATGAAAAGCTATTTA